TATATATATATATATATATATATATATATATATATATATATATATATATATATATATATAGCAACAAACATTAAAGAAAAATGCCCAGCAATTAAAATATGCAATTATTTTATTATCAAATCGTGTGTTACAAAAATGTATAACAAAAGAACAGCCTTAATATACGTAAGATATATGTAAAAATGGAATAAAAATTATTGCAATTAGATTTGATGAAAATGCTAATTTAGACACAATATATATGCATATAATGGAATGAAGTGGATATCTCTCTATTATAGCACTTACAAATAAGCTTATATATAAATGGCTTATTATATAAATGGTTCTCTTACTGAGAGTTTTTTATAATCTAGTTTAAGACATTTGGTCCAAATAAAGACTATTGAAATGTGAATATAACATTTGTATGTTCTGTGATTAATTAATTTTTTTAAATAATGACAATAATGGAGAATGATAGTTCGTCTCTTCCAGCTATATCATTTTCTCGAGTGTAACATATAAATTATTTCAGTTTTCACTCGTGTTATTTCAAAATTAAGAGATGAATGTTCAAAGTTGATATTTGAAGTGATACTTTTAAAGTGATACTTTCACTATGTTACTTTTTTGAAGGATGGAACATGGTGTAATAAATAATCATTGCTGCAATGCCGAGGAAGAAGGACAAAGCGCAAGAAATAAGACATACTTTAAAGTACCAAATACTTTTAATTTCTGGAAGAGAAGTGTACCCCCATACTGCATTACATGCAATGTTTTCGAAGAAACAGAGTGTATAAAAAAATATATGTTTCCAGAATGTATTACTGTCTACTGTATTAAAGTATACGAAAATGTAAACTATCCCAATAACTGTCGCAAATAATGTAGAATAAATACGTTCTGTAAACTTTGGTTTAACATGTGGTGGGCGACTGTAATCCTTACAAAATTCTGATATTCCATGGGAATCTATCACAATCCATATTGACATGCTTATCCAATGTAGTATACAACAGATTACAGTATATATAGGCCAAATGCTCGCAATGACACTGAGCGATAAGATTCTCGCCACTGCAACAATTATATCATTTATGCTTTGTTATTATGTCATTTTTAAAATTAATCGTGGAAGTTTGTGCAAAAGCGAGTAGAATGGCGTAAGGTAAAATAAAATGATGTAAATAAATGTGCAATAATCATGGAAATACCTGTAATAAAAAAATGCCACAGGAATTGAAAAGTAGTTCCTATATAACTAATATTAGATTTATCCGGCTGAGCTAAACGAATGCTGCGGTGGTAACTAGCCATTGCCCAACCCATACTTCCCAGTGAGCTGATAATACTAGCTACTTGATGTACAACTGGAATAATATGCATGTAAAAACATATAGAGGTGTAGCAATTAAAAATAAATCAGCTGGATCCAATGAAGTATTAAGCATATTAAATTAAAAAATGTCAATGTCATATTGCAAACTGGCAATTGCAAATGGATGTATAACAAATTTTTCAAATATTGTACATATGTGTATTTATTAATATTTATAATTTATTAATATGTATAATTCAAATATTGTACATATATATGTACTTATTTATTAATATTTATAATTTGAACAAAAATACAATATATATAGTATACCTACATTGAACATTTATTTCATTGTAGTGCCTCAAAACTAAAGTTAGCTGCAAAATCTGCTGTGGTGCAGCTTCCAAAAAACATTCAAACACTCTTAATAATGCAACATCCTGGTCTTCCCTAAGCATTTTTATGTAATTTCGTTTTGCACCAATATGGTCTCTAGATTTCTCACATTTGCGTGTTTGTAGTGCATATGTCAAAGTGTCATAATAATGTAAAACTGGTGCTAATTGTAGCATAACAGCAACCACGAAACATAATTTACTTTTAATTATTAGACGTGAAATTTTACCACGGTCTAAATTATCCATAGGGGGATGTGTCTACATGAAAAAACTTACATAGTAAATAAATGTAATATCATGGTTTGTATCAATGTGCAGTATTGATTTTAAGATCAACTATTACTCTATTACTTTAATATAATTTATACGGTATTATAGTAAGTAATGTATTATGATTGTACTCAGATAGAAATGTGTGATGATCATGTTTCATCATAATGTGATGTCATATTGTGATTGCACCCTATTTTTACTTTAAAGATCATTATGTGATTAACATGACATGAGCGCAAGATGTATACAAATGAAATGCGAACATGTCTAGTTTAACAAGTTTTATCATAATACTACTAGATGATATTTTTCCGATCATCACATGAACGACATACAAGCATCATATGCGCACGCATTTGTATGCATTTTTGCAATCATGCACGTCAATATGAGTACGTGCTGAGCGCAACATGACATCATTTTTCTATCTGGGTACATGCAATTATTAACACAATACCTATATACTTTACCTCTTTTTCGTGACATTGCATTCTTTTACTAACGATAACATTTATCAAAGATGGAATAATAATAATGCAAATTGTCCAAGCAAAATATGTTATTTTATCATCTAAAAGGTATTGGATAGCAATATTGTAATCCAACACCATATCAACAATATGCATAAGTATGGAACAAACTATGAAGAAAACAAGTAAATTAGGAATGCAAGGACTCCTTATTGGGGTATTCACATCATCATGTGAGTACATAGTTGGAAATATTCCTGTAAAATAGCCCGAAAGATGATGTTCTGAACTTCTTTCTTCCATGATTTCCTGTAATGTGTTATCATTTTATCAATACCTGTATAACAATATATCGATGTTACGATTCATTAATTATCGAATTCATTAATTAATTAGCACGATAGTATTGCAGAACGTAATGTATAAAAAAATAACAATGTTACGTTAACAATAGAAGTATGAACAATGTAAATATGGTGGTCCTACCAGTATGACAATAATTATAAAATATTGTAAATATTTATTATGCGTATAAAAGCCACTTAATTTCGACAAATTTCTGCTATATTTTCCACGTCACTCTTTTCTTCAAAGAAATTTGTATTTTCCTCTCTATGTCTTGCTTATAATTATTATTACATACTTTATATTGTTTAGGTTAGGTTGCTATCTCTTTGTTATGTGGTTTCCTTTTAATTGCATTTTTTTTGGTTCTAACTGCACTAGCGCTTGGCAAGTATCGATGATTAACTGCGCGCACATTCAATATAACTACACTGCGATGAAAAACGTCACACCTTTCTCATACGACTTCTACTGTCAATCTATCCCACAGTGCCCCCATACCTAGTCATTCCCTCCCTCTCTCTCTTTCCCACTCATGAAACACTTCACAGAGTCCTTTAGTTACACTTCTCGCCACTACGTGGCGTCTATCCAATGTAGTATACTCGCAGTTAAATTTCCATCAAATACATGATATAAACCCAACAAACTTGAGTGTAAGCATCGCTTCTCGGCTCTCTGAGCTAAGATCAAAGTGTAGTATCTGTTCTTATCAGCTTAATATCTGATACAACCCTCAACGAGGGTTCAGAATATTAAACTGATTTTTGAAGCCAGGAGGGTGACCGGAGCTTGCTCCGACCCCTCCACGGGTCGGCCCCGCGCTGCAGTACTGCAGGGCTCGGCCCAACAGGTCTAATTAAACATAATTTATGTTCTTTAGATGCTGGATGGCGGAGAAAATCAGTTGCAGAGTCTGGGCCCTCAGAGATTTTTAATCGCGCTCGTTGCATAAGTCCTCGTCGTCGCCGGAGGCACCGCCGGTTTTCCGTTGTCCAGGGCTCGCGCGCGTTGCTTCCCCTGTTGATAGAATG